ACTCCTACGAGGAATACTAGACCTCACGAAAATTGAGATCAACAGCCACTAGAGCTAAATCTCATTAAAACAATGAGCCATGAAATTTCTTAATAAAGCGATAGAGTACTTTCTATATGCATGTAGAAATCAAGTTCATCATCCCTTTAGCTCACTCCCATGCTCTCCATCTCCCTCCTCTTATATTTATTAATTTATCCCATAAACTAAGCAACAAAACATTATTTCGTGCTCAATGGATGAAAAATCACTAATATCCCACTTTGCCTCTTAGCCTTTTATAAGTGCAAGGACGAAAGTCGAACTTGTTATGATATTATCAAAGCACAATTTGTCAAATATGAAATTGAATGAGTTAAGCTCAACAACAAGTCATATTGTTGAGCTTGTTTCTCCATTGCGCCCTATTGAGTGTCATATTTTCATTTAATTCTAACAGATTAAGATCATTTTTTATACAAAATGCCCAAGTATTTTAGGTCTACCTCTACCATTCTTAACATAAGTCAAATCTAAAAAAATCTACTCTCATAACAAGATCATCATATTGTCGACGTTTAGGGGCTTTTTGACAACGGATTTAGGCAAGGATTTATGCAAGATGTTAGTGAAATCTTGTCAGGCAGTTGTTTTGGACAAAATAAATCCAGAGATGCGATAAATCTAGATTTCACAGATTTCATCTGTAAATCCCGGATTTAGTAAATCCCGCGATTCGGTGGATTTAAATTCGTCCGCTGTGGATTTGAGTGTCATATTTTCATTTAATTGTAACAAATTAGGATCATTTTTTATACAATATGTCAAATCTAAAAAAATTTACTCTCATAACAAGATCATCAGATTGTCAACGTTTAGGGGCTTTTTGGCAACAGATTTAAGCAAGGAATTATGCAGGATGTAAGTGAAATCTTGCCAGAAGGTCGTTTTTGATAAAAGAAATCCAGAGATGCGATAAATCTATATTTCACGGATTTCGTCCGTAAATCCCGGATTTAGTAAATCCCTCAATTCGATGGATTTAAGTTCGTCTGCTGTGGATTTAAGGCGGGAAGAATCAGATAGAGCATAAATTATCAGACAATTTTATTGGATTTACAGGATTTATTAAATTCGTTGCCAAACAGTTTGTGAGATATATATGTGTGTGTGTGTGTGTGTGTGTGTGTGTGTATTTGAATATTTGGTTTTGAGATTTAACCCATTGAGGATTTACTCAATCATAGTAATTTAAATCTTACATGTTGTGAGACATCACCTTAATGTGACCAAACCATCTAAGATGACTCTCTCTAATCTTATTAGCCACTGAAGCTACCCCTTATTAAAACAATGAGTCATGAAATTTCTTAATAAACGATAGAGCACTTTCTATCCGAGTGTAAAAGTCAAGTTCACTATCCCTCTAGTTCCCTCCTACGCTCTCCATCTCTCTCCTCTTATATTCAATAATCAATCCCATAAACTAAGCAAAAGCAACAAAACATTATTTCATGCTGGATGGATGAAAAATCATTGATCTCACACTTTGTCTCTTAGCCTTTTATAAGTGCAAGGATCGAAGTTGAACTCTTTATGATATTATCAAAGCACAATTTGTCAAATATGAAATTGAATTGAGTTAAGCTCAAGCTTTGATAAAGTTTTAAATACATTGTCTAAGATTGATTTATCTTATAATAAGCTATGCACAAAGAATGATTGAAGACATTGATTGACTAGGAGAGTTAAATATATAAAAAGGTGTAGGACTCCCTAAACTTAATATTTGACATTTTGATATAATGATTAAGAACCAAGGGGGGAAAAAACATGGCCTTAGAAATGAATTTTGATCAAGTCAAACCACAATATCATAGAAAATCATTAAAGATATTGATTTTCATTTTGGTCACTCAATAGCCAAAAACAAATACTAACAATAATAATAGGCAAATGATAATTTATAATTATTTTATGAAAAAATTAAAAAGCACAAAAATCTTATTTTTTTCAATAATACTTCAAATTTTCTCATTCAAAAAGATAAGAACAAGCATTAGATCTCCATGTTTCTACAACAAACCAAACTGACTTATACAAAATATACACCAATCATTTATACTTGTTATCTTCAAACCCCAAAACAGAATAAAGGTTTTACCAACATTCTACCATCCCTACTTGGAATAGGAAGATTTACGTGCATACCACTCAATTCTTATTTATTTACATATCTAACTCCTAAACTTCATATTTTTACATATGCGCCGCCTTACCTATGCATGAAAAGATTTATATCACTTTTAAAAGTTAAAAATAATGATATTTTTGATGTGATATGAATTATTTAGGTGGTATAAATGTAAAAGTCAAAGTTTGTGTCACATATGTAAATACATAACAATTGTGCTGTGTAAATGCTGCTTTGAAATATTAAACATACAATTGTTCATGCTTTAACTAGTAACTGTTTTACCATGATTTCATATTAGGGTGCCTAAGACTATAAGGTATTCTCTGCAAGCAGCAAAACAAGGATGGCAAAACTAATGGCAGAGAAACCAAAAGTGAATACCTTCTGCTTCTTCCCTTTTGATGTGCTCTTTGCTTGAATGGCTTCCTTCCTCACGGACCCCTTCCCATCTACTTGTTGCTTTTTACACTTCATAGTCTTACCAGTAACTTGATCTCCTCTAGAAATTTTTGAAACCTCCTCAATTGAAGAAGAAAATTCCTCCAAGCAGCCATTATTACTCTCATGAACTTCACTGTCATCCCTCTGTGATCTACTTATCTCTCCATCAGTATCCCCAACCACATCCTCTGTACCAGTCCCTCTCTTTACTCTATGATTCATAGGATTCCCATGGCTTTTCAGATCATGATTTTCATTACCATTCCCTATTCCATTATCATCTCCTTCTACCTGCAAGGTTAAATCATCTTTAAATGCCTCAGAAAGTTTATCTTTATCACCTTCAGAACTCTCATCTTCCTCAGCCAGAGGCTCAAAGTCAAAACTCACACATAATCCTTCCTCACCAGCATCCTTCAATGCCTCGTCTTCATCATCAAATGTACTCCGCAGATCTGCAACCTTATCCCGGTGCTTCTTAGACTGCTCATGATTCTTCCATTGCTTCTCAGACTTGAACTTCTTATTACAAACAACACAGTACATTTCTACCTCACCCTTCCCTTTCTTCTTCCTCTTATAATCCTCATCGTCATCCCATATCATCTTGCTCTCTTCCTGATCATTCTTTGCCCACTCGGGCTCCTGGTACAGCATCATTCTCTCCTTCTTCTTCCTCTCCTCTTCTTTCTTCCTCTCCTTCTCTTCTGTCCGCCGTTTCTCCTCCTCTTCATTCTTCTTCATCTGCATATCCAGAACCCTCTTATCTCTCTTCTTCACAAAGGCAGCCAATCCCCTCACTGTTTCGTTATGCTCCCTCTTGGCCCTCTTCCTCACCTTCTTGTTTTCCTCTTCCATGAGTCTCCTCGCCTTCCGATTAGGTCCGGCAAAAGAATCATACTCATCCATCCAAGCGAAATCCATAACAGTCGAATAGCCCAACCAGTAAGAGTAAAAGGCCGTCACTTGAGAGTACGGGCTGTCAAGATTCCCAATAAGCGGCGCAGGAGCGACTGCATCAGATTGCAACCCTAATTTCTGGACAAAATTGAGCTCCTGCGAGTAGATTTTACCGAACACGTCGCCGTAAACCTTGAAGAAACCCTTACCAGAATCCGTATATCCGGAGTAGACCGACTTAGAGAAGAAAGAGAAGAGATCGAGATCAAAGAACGAGGAGCGCGATTTGGAGGCGGAAGAAGGATCGGAGAATAGAATCTGGGAGCGGTGAGAATCGTACCAAGCGCGCTCCTTGGGATCGGAGAGGACCTCATAAGCGTGCAATAGCTCTTGGAAGGCGGCGGTAGCTTCTCCGGCGGCGTTAGTGGCGCCGGATTGGGTGAGTTTGTCGGGGTGAAGCTGGAGGGCGAGGCGCTTGTAAGCGGAACGAATCTCCTCCGGCGAGCAATCGCGACTCACAGCGAGCACGTCGTAGAGACATCGCTTCTTCGGCTGATCCGCCATTGCTCTTGCCTCCGGGGATCTCTGCACCTCAACTCCTATACAACGAAGGGAGAACAAAAAAGCGATTTTGCTTTTGGAATTAATGAATAGGATTAATTAGATAGAAACCCTGTAAATATTTATAATTACCACATAATTTTTATATATTTCAATCTCTAATATTTTAATTTTATTTATAAAATTAGCAATTATTTTTTATTTTTTAATTTTTTTTAGCTAGAAGCCGGTGCATTATGAAAGAAAGTGCTAGTTTTGTAAATCGCATAATTTGTAGGACCATTTTTTTAAAAGAGCCACTTCTATAATATTAATGAGGATTTGAGGCTGCTGGGAGGAGGAATTAGCAGAAGGAGCAAGTTTTTTAAAAGAGCCATGCTGCATATTTAAAATTAAGATTTAATTAAAATGAAATTTAAAACGTTTAGTTAATAATATTAAAAACGGCCCAAATTTGTTATGTCCAAGATTTAATCATTTTAAATTAAGATTTAATTAAAAACAATTTTAATTAAAAACAAAGAATTAAAAATATTTTAAATAAATTAATATATAATAATATTTTATAATCATAAAATAAAAAAGAACCTGATAATAAAATGTTAATATTTTTTAAATAGGATTTTTGAAATAAAAGAAAATATTAAAAACTAAAATGTTAATATATTTAATTAATTGAGTTTTAATAAAATTTTGAGTTTTGAAATAAATAAATTTTGAGTTTACAAAATGATATAAATTATTAATAATGACCTAAATAATATATTTAATGAATTATTAAAAACCAACCATTATGAATATTTTACATTTTTACATACATAACACTAAAAAACTTTCATATTTATCTATTTCACAACCTAAACTTTCATAATTACAACCTTCATATAACTTTCATAATTACAACCTTCATATAACAATTACAACCTTCATATACCTTCATATAACTTTCATAATTACAACCTTCATATGAAAGCGGAAATAAAATTTAACAAATTTAATTCAGATTTTATCTCCCAACAAACAAATAAGCAGTTTAAAACAACACCAACATTAAGCCTGAATCAACCAAAAATTTTTCTGTGCGGACTCCTGACGTAGCTCTACGTACGGCGCAAGGTATTCCTGAATTATTTTCAGTTTATTTTCAATAATCCCGAAATAACCCAGAAATAACTCGCGGCCTTTATTTTTGGGTTAATTCTAGATTATTTCGGGATTATTAAAAATAATCCAGAAATAATATAAAAATAACTCATGAATAACCTGCGCCGCACGTAGAGGTAAGTCAGGTGTCTGGACAGAAAATGCGCGTTGAATCAACAGAATCACATCAAAAATTGATGAATAACAAGTAGATATCAATCAATGCAACCATCATGGATCTAAATAAAGCATATGAAAAAACTTCAAATTACATAAATGTCCAAATTACATAATCAAGCTCTTCCAAATCTGGGAAGCTCAAAATGACCCAAACAAAGGATTCTACCAAAGATCAATTACACAGTTCTAATCAAGAAATCTAAAGCTTTTTTTTATTTATTTACATTTCTTAGCTATTTCTATTTACATATCTTTTTCAATTCTATTCAGCAGCCCTCTCCTCTCCCTTCAGCCAATCGTTGAATTTCTTTTTCAATTATAAAACCAGGTTTGAACAAGACATGAATAGTGCTGTGCTGCCATCAATTGAGCCTCATGATTGTCTGTGCAAAATATATAAGAAAATTTCCTGGAAATAGTGCTGCTGATCAGATGTTTTGTAACATTTTCTTATCATAATTTCACAACTCCTGCCTAAAAACTGAAATGACTTAATTAAATACAGAAGTAGGAAATATGATGACCAGAAATTACCAATCAACAAAAGAGATTCTGGTTATGAGTTTAATTTCATTACAGATTGGCCATATGTTTTAAACAATGGTTTCCAGTTAGTTCATGAGGGCTGCATTAACCAAATTATGACTTATATTATAAAACATAAAAGGGACATTTACAAAACACGCCGCCCAATTCTTATGTATTTACATATCGAACACCTAAACATTCCTTCATACATTTATACCACCCAAATCTTTTACATAACATAAAAAATACCAAAATTTTAACTTTTAAAAAGAGAGCGAAGTGCCTAAATTGTCCCTGATTGTTTTACATTGGGTCATTTTAATCAAAGTTTATAAAAGTGCTAAATTAGTCTCCAAACACTTTAAATTGGTTGAAATATCCCTCCTTGTAGACAAATTCAAGTATTCAACCCCAAATAAAAGTTTGGAGGCTAAATTGACATTTTTATAAACTCTCAGGCAAAAAAGACCCTGTGCAAAGAGTCAAGAGACTGAAACTTTTCTTTTAAAAAAAGTTAAATAAATTTTCACATGCAAAGGTAAGGTGATATGCATGTAAAAATTGAAGCTCAGGTGTTAGATATGTAAAACAGTAAATACATAAAAATTGAGTGATATGCATGAAAATCTTCCAATATAACATAAAAAAATACCAACATTTTAACTTCTAAAAGGGAGTGAAGTGCCTAAATTATCCCTGAATGTTTACATTGGGTCATTTTTAATCCCATTTTATAAAAGTGCTAATTTAGTCTCCATACAAGCATTCAACCCCAATTAAAGGTCTAGAGACTAAATTGATATTTTTATAAACTTTGAGGCTAAAATGACCCTGTGTTAGAAGTCAAGGGACCATGACACTTTTCTCTTTAGAATAGTGAAATAATTTTTTTCATGCATAGGTAAGGTCGTGTGTATGTAAAAAATGAAGCTCCGGAGTTCAACATGTAAATCAGTAAATACTTAAAAATTGAGTGAATGCATGCAAGTCTTCCAATATAAAAATTAAGGAAATAGAAATTGGTTAATTTATATCATAATTCACACCGGTGCATAAACCGTCTTGATAGTTCATTCATGGTAAGAGCGTTTACCAGGGTAAATTTAATAGCATTTAAAAGGAAAAAAAAAAAACTAGAGATAGAACCTCACCTAATTTTTAATTGAATTAGACGATGCAAGATCCTTGGTTGGCTTACCCGGAGGTGCCGGGATGGGCTTTTGGTATGCTGGAATGGGAAAGCCCGGTGGAGGACCTGAAACAGGTGAGTTAACAGACTTTTTAGTGGCAAAGCTCACAGGAGGCCTCCGAACGGGCTTCGAAAACTGAGACGGAGCATCTTCGAGCTTCACGGGCACATCAGTTCTTCCAATGGGATGACCGCCCAACATATCAATCTCCATCTCAACTTGAACCTGCTCGGCAACTTCCATGGAAGTAACAGTTAGGGGAGCCTTAGATCGACTCTGTGGAAAAGAAGCTTTAGGTGTAGAAGGGCTGCATGATAACGGCTTTTCTTCTACATGACTAGCTTTCTTTTTCTTCAAATGTCGAAATACACCCCAAAGATATATATTCCCCCCTATGTCTGTAAGAAGGAAATCATAAAATTTATATCATAATTCTGACTCGGATCAAAATAACTCCAGTCCTTGATTAATATAAAAAAAAAAATTCATAACATAATCCTGTTGCGCACCCTTGGAATCAATCTGTAGTTGTGCAGATGTGAATAACAGTAGCTCTGCATCTGCCACGGAACCTTGTAATGCATAATCATGCGAACTAATGTGCTGAATGAAATGAGCATAATTTTTTTTATGCCTGCAATTTGAAGGGAGGTTAGTGGCATTCAATAGATCAGAAAAAGAAAAGCAAGTTTCAAGATGATAATTATAATGGAATTGTTAGGAAGGAATGCCAGCAGCCTAATTTGAGCCAATTAAATTAATGGATTGTTGACCTCATTTTTTAGGTCATTTCTTTTTTCTTTTTGAGGTCATTTCATTTTTTAGGGTCTTAGGATCTAGCTCTAGGAGTTCTTATTGACCAGATCTTAGGATCTAGCTCTACGAGTTCCTATTGACCATCTTAGAAAACTAGAATTGAGACCCACCCATTTTAGAAATTTCAAACACTTCCTATTCTCCTGTGATGTCTAGCATTTATGGCCCAGAACCCATCGTTTTATGTACGAGCGATTAAGGGCTATTATGTGAAGACTCGGGGAGAAGTTCCCAATAAGAGTTCAAGCCCTAGGAAAAACATCATCACGATTTTTTCGTCATATACACATACCAAATGCACAAAATTCACAAAATTGCACGACGACGGCCTTCAATTAAGCCTGGAGGACGGGTGAAAATGCGAACTTCTCCGGATGACCTCCGACGACAAATTGAATTGCGCCAACTCGTCCGGGACACCAATTTTGGTAGGAAAGGACACCCATTTCAGGCCTAAACTAAAGTGTAGACTTCCTAGATCTTAGGAGCACACCTTGAGAGAGTCCATCTTCCTAATGTTCAAATGATCTTAAGAAGCCAGGCATCTGATCCCATTTCATGAGATAACTAGGATACTAGGCACGAGGGTGCACTAGATTGTGATTCATGACTGATTTAATTAGATCAAATAATGAAATTCTTACCTTAACTTGACCAAACTGAAACTCAATGCTCCGGGATTTGAGTTTGTCTTACACTCAAATCCTCCTGGCAATTGGGGACATTCCAATATCACATATAAATTTCCTATTTTTGGTCATTTATGTGTAATATTGTATTTTATCTTATTTGTCTATCTTTTTCCTATGATTTACCTGTTTCTGTTAAGTCTTTTTCAGGTCATACTTTACTCTTTTACACAACGCATAATAGCTAAACTTAAAGGAGCAATGAACCTACCAGGTGTACAGGTTTAATTTATATTACAACATTTTATCTCAAAACATGTTATATTGTTTTCATAGTCTGTTATACTATTTTTCCAGCATGTTATACTACTCTTTATAACACGTTATACTCTTCTTTCAGTATGTTATATTATCTTTCCTCTTTACTGTACAGTACATTATTACTTTTCTTTCACGCTGCATGTTTTATTGCTTAGTTTTTGCTATGTCTTAGTATAGAATAACCTAGTGGTTAGGAGCATGTTCAAAACTATAACTAAACCAGGAGGTGCTACTACGAGAAGCTTGGAGCGAATATCGTGGGCAACACGACAAGAAACAACTTCAAGGTGGATCTGCAGCAGCAAAGCACATTCACATCACCTATCACTTTCTTTAGTTTAAATAACAACCCATAGGATCACCCTTCAGGCTTTTGCACAACTCTGTTGTGCAATTATAAGTCCTAACACTTTAGGGTTTTGAGGTTACCGTGTTGTACGGTGTAAATCCTCATATATTTTTAGGCTATTTGCACAGTCTGATATTGTGTAAAATCGTGGGCAACACGACAAGAAACAACTTCAAGGTGGATCTGCAGCAGCAAAGCACATTCACATCACCTATCACTTTCTTTAGTTTAAATAACAACCCATAGGATCACCCTTCAGGCTTTTGCACAACTCTGTTGTGCAATTATAAGTCCTAACACTTTAGGGTTTTGAGGTTACCGTGTTGTACGGTGTAAATCCTCATATATTTTTAGGCTATTTGCACAGTCTGATATTGTGTAAACATAAGTCCTAAATCATAAATAATTTGCAGGACTGAAATATCAAATTAAATCATTTCAAAAGACATAAAGCCAAACAATAGGATAGTTGGGACATCTCCGGGGCTTTCCCCAGATCTGTGATATCCCCTACTTTTCTTCCCTTTGGATTCCTTAAATAATTGTTCCTATTTTGAGTATTCTCATTTGATTTTCTCATGTCCAATCGCGAAAACCTAAACTTTGAAATTTTGAAAGTAAAACCACCTGATATTAATCGAGAGTTTTTTTAAGTGATTTCGATCATTTAAGATGTAATTAACAATAGGGGCTTGCCTCTATAGGAAACCAGAAACCCAGATAAAATAAACCCTATCTAATTTTTTATGTTAGGTAGGGGAACTTGTTGGCCTTTTTATAAAAATATTTCGCAGACCAAAACGGATGTCACAAATTCTTTAGTCTAGGTGATTGAATCTCTATTACAAGTGATATATTTATTCTTTGGGATAAGTGTATTACTTGTAGTATTGTATTTAATCATCTAAACTATTTAAAATGCGAGACACGTTTGGTCTCACTTATTTTAAAATTAAAATGTTACTTTTAAAAATAAAAAAAAGGTTATATTCATATTTAAATTATTTTCAAAATCACAAAATCATTCACTTTTTCAAACCAACGAAAGTTAAAAAAAAAAATAAAACGACCGACATGGATGTGTTGAGATTTGTATGTAATAGTCTTTATAAATAGAAGAAGGATTTATTTGTAAATGTAGTAAACCTATATAAGCTCAAGCCATTAATGAAATGGGTAAATTTTTTTAGCATGTATTTTTATTTGGTATAGCCCTAACCTACCTGCCAGCCGTTCGTCCTTCGTGCTGCTCAATCATCAGGATTGAGACCAAAATTCCGATTTTACTTTCTTCCGCTTTGTCAACTCCAAGCAGCCGCAACTAGAGCATGTTGCAAAGGCAGCGGGGTGATCACGGCTCACTGGAAGGGGATGAGAGGATCGCAGTTCGCTGGGAATGCAGCGACAAGATCGCGGTTCGTTGGGAAGGCAGCTAAGGGATCCCGGTTTCCGACGTGAACCCACGCGAGTCGCTAGGAAAGAACCCTCTCTATACAGTTGCTGGGAAAGAACCCTCGCGATACAGTTAGTTGGAGAACAACTATAGGATCGTGGTTTGAGGCGTGAACACTTCTTAGGCCTGCCCTAGGATTGAACCGAAGACACCTTCGGTTGTCGGATTGCCGTAGAGTTGAAATCAGAGCAGTGGAGGAGAGGACTTTGGTTCTACATGCGTGAGAGGACGACAAAGACTAGAGAATAGTTAAATTGAGGATGTTTAGAGACGAAGATAGCGCGACAGGTAAAGGTTTAGAACTTCTGAGGAAGATAGATCTTGAAGTTCTAAAAATCTTGATCGGGCTCATACAGGGGGCTAGCGACTTGTCGGAAGCCACTACCCCAGCATGTGCTCCGACGCATGTGAAACTAGATCTCCCTCCTGTGGATCTGAAGATCGATGAACTGAGTTGGTTGCGTCGAATCAAGGATGCTCTATTATGGAAGACACTAGAAGGATATCTGACAGGGGTTGGGCCAAAGTGTGACAGTAGTGAGAGGTATGAGTGGAGGACCACACATGCATTGATTTGAACATGACAACTCAACTCGATGGTTCCATCGTTTGTCACATCAGTGGATGGCATTTAAACAGTGAAAAACATTTGGGCAAAACTAAAGAGGAGTTATGCTGAGACTGAGAAACACATATGGGTGTTTTAGATTGAGCGTGGCATATAGATGGGTGGTCTTTACCAATGAGGATCACAAGCTCCTAGAGATATTGAAGAGGAAGTAGAGAGCAGCAGGTATGTGATCGAGAATGCATCCATCTTATCGTCATCTAGGAGAAACATTGCTACTTATGCTCACTCAACCAAAAGTACTTGTGATACACATCCACTTGCCTTTATATCATCCACAAAATCACTAGAATGGATAATAGATTTTGGTGCGTCTAAACATGTGACAGGTGTTGCCAGTTAGTTTTCTTCATATACTCACCTAGCAGTTCCAGAGAGCATTCAGACTGTTGACGGTACAACACAGTCTGTGGTTGGTAAGGATACAGTGAGGTGTATCAATTCTATGACTAAGTCCAATATTTTGTTTGCTCATTCATTTCCAAGGAACCTTTTATCCATTAGTGTCATTATACTCTAACTAAAATGTATTATTATTTTATTTGATATTCCTATGTATTCCTATGGTGATCTTTAAGAGACGGAGGCTGACGGGAGACTTTGGACAACATGTGGCATAGTAGATTCTGATACTTGGATAGAGAAGAGATAGACTCAATCTTGAAATCCATGATAAAGAGTGCTGGAGTAGGAGGATTTGGGAGGAATGTGAAGGATGTGTTGTTGCTACATCGCAAGCGCATGAAACACTCATCGTTTAATCTATTGAGTCACTTGTATCCATCTTTGTATGAAAAGACAAATAAACAGAACCTTGTGTGCAATTCTTGTAAGTTTAGTAAGAACACCAGGATTGACTGAGGAAGAGCCTCAAATGAGAAAAATAAGCCTGAAGGTGCTGAGACTCGAGCTCAAGGGGAGTTGAGGGTGTATATAAGGAGGAAATGGCAGAATGAGAAAACAGGCCTGCTGTGCCTCTCGTGCCAACAGATCTCTTGTCCCGATCTATCCTGACTCCTGAGAAACCTAGATCATCCACTCTGAAATTCGATTACACAAGTGATATGATTCCTCTCTCATCTCCTCTCACTCCCATGACTTTTAAGGAAAATTGGCGCAGCAATGCGGGCGATTCTTCTGATCGCTTTGGTTTCCCACAAGACATTGCTAATTTTGTCACATACTCAAACATTTCACCTTTGCACGGAGCATTCATTGCATATTTGGAGATACTCTCTATACCCAAGTGTTGACAGGTAGCAAAGGAGGATCCAAAGTGGAAGGCTTCAATGCTATAGAAATTTAGTGCTTTTGATAAGAACATGACACCGGAGCACGCGTTGCTACCATAAAAGAAAAAGGCAGTCGAGTGCAAATGAGTCTTCATAATGAAGCATATCTCAGAAAGAAAGATTGATCGCTACAAAACAAAGTTGGTGACGAAAGGGTATAGTAAAATATATGACACTGACTATGATGAAACATTTGCACCCGTGGCAAAGACGAACACAGTCCGGACGCTTGTCTCTCTGGTTGTGAATGGTGGGTGAAGGTTACAACAACTGAATGTGAAGTATGTGTTTCTTCATGGGGATTTGCTAGAGGAGGTGTACAAGGAGATACCCTAAGGTTTCGACACAAATCAAATAGTGGGCAAGGTATGTAGATTGAGAAAATCACTATACAGTTTGAAACAATATCCTCGAACTTGGTTTGACTGGTTCAGGAAAGAAATGGTAGGCATGGGTTATCAACAGTAAATGTCGAGCACATAGTGATCTTTCGACAACATGGTAGTCACATTACTATTCTTGTTATGTTCATGATATGATTGTCACTGGGAACGATGAGGGTGATATTGCTCAGCTGAAGACAAGTGCAGGCAAAGAGTTTGATATGAAGGAATTGAGACAACTTAAGTACTTCAGGATTGAGGTGGCTCATGGAGTTGAGGGCATAGTTCTATCAAAGAGAAGCATGTGTTAAGCTTGCTTACAAAGATGGGCATGTCGTGATGCAAGCCTATAGCTTCACCAATTGATCAGAAGGGAAAGTTGAGGGCATAGGCATGAGAGTCAGTTGATCGTGAGAGGTACCAAAGGTTGGTAGATCGTCTCATCTATCTGAGTCACATTTTCCCGACATCATTTGAAGTGTGGTGAGTCGCTACATGCATGATCCGAGGAAAAGTCACATAAATGCATTGTATCAGATTCTGAGGTATCTGAAGAGTGCACCAAACAAGGAGTTAACTTTAGAAAAAATGGGCATATAAGCATTGAGGGCTATTTTGACTATGATTGGGCGAATTATATGGATCACAGGGGGTCAAATTTGGATATTGCATGTTCGTTGGAGGCAACTTGGCTTTTGGAAGAGCAAGAAACAGTAAGTAGTAGCAAGGTCAACAACAAAGACACAATATAGGGCCACAAACTTAGGAGTTGCTAAGATAATATGACTGAGAGCCTTGTTGGTAGAGCTCAAGGTAGACCAAGGAGCTCAAAATCAAGTTGTGGACGACAACAAGCCAACAATCAGCATCATCAATAACCCAGTGCAACATGATAAAACCAAACATGTGAAGATTGATAGGTTCTTCATCAAGGAAAAGTTGAATAATGGACTACTAGAGCTAAGTCATGTAGCCACTAGAGAGCAAGTGGTTGATTGCCCAAGCCACTGGAGAGCAAGTGGTTGATTGCCCAAAGGACTTAGCTCATTAGATTTGACAAGATTATGTGACAAGAGGACTTACTGGATATCTTTTGCCCATCTTGAGGGAGAATTTTAAGATTTGTATCTAATATAGGGTTCTATTTGTAAATAGAAGAAGTCTAAGGATTCATATGCAAATATGGTAAGACCCTGTATAAGCCCAAGCCATTAATGAAATGGGTATGTTTTTTGAGCAATTATTTCTATTGGATGCATTCCATCAATTTAAAAACCAAAGTTAACAAGTAAAGGTCACTATAAGTATATTAGAAACCAAGCTCTCGTTTTAAACCTCACAAGTAAAGGTCACCATAAGTACATTAAACTCAAAAATCTCTTTGAATCTTGGCGTAAAATGATATAAAGCTATCAAACCTACTAAGAGCCACATATCACATGGAAAATTTACTGCTTCTTTGGGATCACTTTTGTTTTTTTGTTTTTTGGTTTTGTTTTTTTCTTTTATTTTAAAAATATGCTTGTTTAGAACAATTTTTGGAAGTTTTTATTTTTTATTTAAAAAAAAAATTAGCTTGCCTTTTAAAACACTCAAAAATATCTAAAAGATATTTAAAGTGTTTTTAAAAACCACTAAACATGGTATTATATACCAAACATGTTTTATTTCAACTAAAAACATAAACCAAAAATAAATAAATAAATAGATAAAAAATCATCCCAAACAACACCTTAGAAACAAGCAAAACTATTAGTTCAGATAACACTTGTTAAAATGGTGAAACAAATGTGAGATGGTTATTCTCATTTTACTTTCAAAGTAGGAATATTTGTCACTTTAATGAATAAAATGAAAATAACATACATAATCAAATAATTATTGTCAATATTTAAACCATGATAAGGACAAGAAGCATTCAGCCATCATGGCCCTAAACTTTGAGGAATTTCTTTATTACCGTTCTACTTGGCACAAGAAGTACAAGGCCACGTCGTTCTTTGTTGGAGGCTCAAGCTTAAAAATCTTAGGCCACACACTTTCACGAGAAAGCATCTTGAACTGTAATATTCCAGGCAGATGCTTTGAGATATCATATACTTTAGGAGACACTTGACAAGGAAAATGCGCACGAACTGTACCATGGAACTGGTTAACCAACTTTAGCACCTCAAAAGATCCCCTGTAAAAAGAAAAGGATGAGTAGGCTAATAAAAATAGAAACCAACGAGTTCACAGAAATTAAGGCTAATGAAATTTCTAGCTCTGTAAGAGATTTGCCCGCCAACTTAAAAGTAATGCCAAAAAGAAAGCTCAATATGTCCAAAGAAAGAACGGAGATGCCCAACCACTAGTGCGCATTTCATGCTTGCATATACATATACTCATATTCAATCATGCGCATCATTTTATCTGACATATCCCGAGTTCATTATTCAATCAATGTGGCTTTTACAAATTTCATACAATGCTCCTAAATTCTAGTTGGACATGGGATCTCACTGTCTCATGCAGAGATCAGGTAGTCCACCTAATCTTATTATCAATGTGGTCACAAAATCCCCTATGGAGGTCACACATTCTTCCTAATGTTTCAACATAAATTACCAAACACCAAACTTGCATTCTTGCATATAATAGAAATCACAACAATCATGCCACATATTATACATCATATCTCATGCCATAAAATACCACAGAAAGAAGAAAAACAAAGGGGCACTTTGGGATTACTTTTGTTTTTTGTTTTTATTTTATTTTGTTTGTTTTAATTTGAAACAAATCATGTTTGGTGATTTGACTGTTTTTAAAAACATTTAAAAATTATTTTGTGTGTTTTAAAAAAAATGTTATTTTATTTTTATAAACAAAAAATAAAAAAATATCAAAAATAAACTAAACATAAATGCTTTTTAAAAATAAAATAGAATTAAAAAATAGAAAACAAAAAATAAAAAACAAAATTGATCCTGAACGAACCCTGAGGTAAATGAGCAAGTGCTAGTTAGGGATTTCTCACGAAAGGTAGGTTGATAATGATTGTCAGATCCTAATTCCCAAAGTGTTACATCTCATCGATCAACTTCATACATTTAAAAATGATTTTTTCTTCCTGCACTCTGCGCCGACGTCTTCACTCCGTCGAGAGCACAAACACTTGCCCTAAACACATGTCGATCATCTTCCTCCTTCTGCTAGATCCCACGACGTTCCAAATGGGAACGAATCACTGGTAAGATAACCACACGACTCATCTTTCCTTCTTCATGCATGTCCCTTGATCGCTCTTCAATTCATCCCTCTAGTTCGAATGTAATGTTTGATACCTAAGTACTCAATCGAAACGACGATTGGCTCGAATCATCACCTGCTGAAATAAAAATTCATTATCTTTTATCGCTTATCTTTTTATTTTATTTTATTTTAGTTTTATTTGCTATTACTTATTACACGTGTTTTCTACCTCCAAAATTTCATGTCGACACTTATCATAAAAACCTAACCCTCCTAAACAACTTTGAATCACAATCTTACACTGATCAAAAACTTAATCAGTAGAAAAGGACGAAATGCAACCTAGGAGAACTCCACCAAAAAGAGTAAAGGTGCTTTCTATCAAAATACATGCAAAGAGAAACTCGTCAACACTAATAGGGGTTTGCTTCCTGTGAGAGAAAAAAATCTGGTGAGATCATCCACAACCACAACGATGACTAAGGGTCTGTTTGGGGCAGCTACAGCTTATCCAGCTTCTGCTGATATGCAGCTTATCCTGATAATCTGCTGATGAGCAGCTGATCCGGATAAACTGTCTGGCTGTTTGGTTTGTGCGTCTGAAAAACAACTGATTCTGGAAAAATAACCATTTTGCCCCTGTTCTGAATAAACTGTTTAGTTGTTTGGTTTGTGCTTTTTGTAAAAAGCTTATTTGCAATTTTTTTTAGTTGAATTAATAGTCTGTGTAGCAAAATTTGTTATTTTCTCAACAAAATTAGAGATCAAATGTTAAGAGAAGAAAATACAAAAAATTGGTGTTACATTTATATAACTCAAATATATATGATCACATCAAACGAGCAAAGTTACACATACCAAAAATAAAATGCACCTCACATACTAATATGAAGTATAATGACACAAAAAAAAAGAAAAAATAACATGTCAAAATGACAAGGAAAAAATTATAATGTTGACTTTAAAATGTAGCAGCATATTATGACCCATGCTGCCCGACTTTGACACTATAGAACCCTAAGCGAACCTATCCGACTAGGATGCAGTATAAAAGGAAGCACTCAAACCAGATGCAGTGTTTTAAAATTTTGAGATCGACGAACTCTGAGTAGCAGTGTTCAGCTGGGGTATCATAGAAATAGACTCTATCGGCCCACCTGAAGAAACTGCAGTCCTCCTGTCGTTGTGCCCACCGCGGGAACCTGTAAAACTGTCTCCTAAAACCATGTTTCTGGCAAGAAGTGAGTAGCAAGGACGGTAGCCCGCACCGACACATCGCTTTCTCGGACTTCCCTGAATATCTGGAACTCATCGTCCTGCAGTTATTAAAAATAGAATAGATCAATCAAAAAAATTGAGAAAATATAGAAAGTATACTTACTAAAGTATGGAGGCAAAGGGTGCCGACAACAAATTTCTGTGGCCGTCCAAATTGCTCCACCGTTATCTCAATAAAATCAGTACAATTTAGTATTAAGAAAAAAATTAAATAGGACAAATAAATAGGACATAGGACAAATTCATATAGTAACATTTGGTCCATTAATCTATATATCCAAACATATTTGCAAAACGACATGTAGTTTGAAACACACAAATGAATCGAACATATAGAGTGATGTGTTGCACCCAAATGATGCAACAGGTAATTCGAAACTCATATGTACTTCAGATAGTGTAGATGCAGCAGGTAAATCTGAAACAATATGGGAAAGCTATAACATATGTACCAACAATAATTAGAATTACCTGCAGCAGGTAAATCCAAAATTTTTACAATTTTTACATATATACCACTCAATTTTACATATATACCACTCAATTTCTCAGGTAAATCCGTATGTTACACATCAAATAACAGCCATAGAAATGTTTTAAATGTTTCACCCCAAAATCCAGAAACCATAGAAAATGATGACATACATAACCATACAATAGCAGTCATAGAAAATGATATCATACATAAGCAGTCTATATAATAGATAGCAATGATCCAACTGATGCTTCTCATAGAAAATGTATACCATAGAGAGGCTTCATATATGTTACCGCAGTCATAGTTTACTACAGAAGTTTGAGGCATTTGATATTTATTACAGAGAGACTTCATGTATCTTACCACACAATTCTAATGATTTTTCATACATATAAATAAATAAAGCACCTCATTGACTCGACAACAAAAAAACATCTCACTGACTCAACAAAGCTTGCCCTCAATATAAAACACTTCACTGACTCAACAACAAAAATGCATCGAATGAAAAACAGTTTCTTGCATCGAATGTAAAACAGAAAGGCTTTATATATGTTCCAAACCGAAATAGATGATTTCAACAAGGAATTCCAAAGCCAGATTTATACAATACAGGATCAATATAGTATCCTGAACCTCACTTTCTAAAGAAATAACTATTTGCTAACATAATAAAAGATTGTTTCGGAAAAGAATAGAATAGAGGAGTTGAAGTTGTAATATGTTCTTAAAACCAAGCTCTCCAACCAACAACTAGCAAATATCCCCCAAAAAAATATCTCCCAAGCAGGTATTTTAACAAGAAATCTGAAGAGAAGATACAGCATACTATATACGTATTCACATTTCCCCCAAGAAAGCTAACCGAGCTAGCAAACAGGAAAACACATGCTTACTGAACCTGTAAGCATTTGTATTTAACAAATAATTAGATGCACCATCAAACGAATAAAGCTGCTTCAAAGAGATGCATCATGCATCCAACAAATTCTGTTATCAACAAATTCAATTCCAAACAAATTCTGTTACCAACAAATTATTCTCCATACTCGAACGAAATACAAAAGGCAGCGGTTGCCCTGAAAAAAGGGTCATCCAAGCTCCTTCAAATAGAGGCATTATCCATCCAGTTTCGATAACGAAACATCAAAAAACCCAACAGCAGTTGCCCTTAAAGTATAGGGTCATCCAAGCTACTATAAACATGAATACCAATTAAAATAAAAGTCCTTTATGCCAATCAAACAAATTTCTCACTAGCAGCTCTATTTCCCACCAAACAACCCTCATTCCCATTCAAATAAATAAATCATAGTTGAACGACAACAAGTTTAGCCACAATTTATAAATCATAATTTAAAATTCATGACACCTTGGAAAACAGATGCAGTTTATAGGGGTACCAGATGCAAATAACACAAAATGACAGCTCTCCATCAAGCTGCAAACTCTCACCAACATAAAGCAATATATCCACAATAATTATAAAATGAGCTCAAAGCTGCTATTAAAAGCAACAATATATAGTTTAGGTCATACAAAGGAATTCATCCAAACATATATTCATTTTCATCACAATAATAACATAACATCTTTCAAACTAATACCATTCAAGCCTTCCATATTAAATAGTTCAAAATAGGTGAACATAAAAATGCCAAAAATATCTATGTAACAGCAGATTGTCCTTACAAAAAGTCCTAAAATAAGGTATCATTCATAATTGTCTAGCCAAACTTTACAATACATTACTTAACATGTTTCACTAATGTCGTCTGTTATTTGATCTCTCAGAGCAGCCGTTTCAGATGCCCCTTCACCATCTCTGGTATTTGTTTCAAGTGAATCCATTTCAAGCTGTGGTATGGTGCGACCCACATGGTACTTGAATGCTTCAGGGGGGATTTGCTGTAAATCCACATCAACCACGGCAAATTCTGCATCAGTTCTTGAAGGTTGCCTCCTAATAAAGTTGTATAGTGTCATGATAGCCACTACTATCTGGACCTGCTTCGGAAATAGATAAGTGGACATATCACGCAATATAACTCATTTCTTCTTCCACACTCCGAATGATCGTTCGATTACGCCTCGTAATGATGAATGTTGTTTATTGAATAATTCTTTCTTTCCACGTGCTACACCGCTTGACCTTTCAAACTCTGAGATATGATACTTTGTATCTGGATACG